AAGTCCCCATGCAAGGGGACAGCCCTCAGGGAGGGACAAACAATAACCAATCACAAACAGTAAAATGTTAACACACACCTACAATTCCCTCCCCTAGCCCAGGAGATAATTTAGTCTGATAAAATAGTAACTTAATTATCTCTGGGCTGAAAAATCACTTTTTCCCCAACTTTCAGAACACCCCTTTATACTGGGGGTATCCCCATAAATTATGTGTCCCCTGATAGCCCTGATCTGGATGACCAACATATTCGAATTTCACCCAGATCGGTTCAGGGGTTCGCAAATTTTATGGAAGTCTTGTGTGACCGGCTCACCCTGGGCTGCATGCCCAAAACAGTTCCACGAATTTGGTGGGTTTTGCCGGTCACGTTCAAAAAACATAAAAACAAAGAAAAGTACTGAATGGATCCCTCTGGCTCCTAGCAGCATTCGTGCCCCTCTGTCGAATGCACCAAAGTACCGAATAGCGCTCTTCTAGCTATTTGGTAAATAGAGTTCCAGCGTTCGTCTGTTTGGGACCGGTGTTCGGGAAGTCGAGTGTCCGCAAAACAGTTCCATGCACTCGATGACCAGGTCCCGCTGCATATGTTCGCATGAACAAAGATGGCTGCGGTTTTCTCTGCCACGTGGCGTTCGACTAACGAACGCTGACCGCACAGACAGAGGTAGCAATTTCACTTAAATCTTTGATGTTTAATGAGCCAGAGGGTGGTCCTCATTCGGTAGTTTCATCTACCGAATGCAATAGGCATTACATAACGAATAAAAAGGGAATGCACACTGTAAAGCACATAGGTATAGGGGAATTTCTTCACAAAGGGAAAGGAATTGCACTTACAATTTTCTGGAGCCTATACTCAGCTCCAGATATGTGCACTTGGACGGTACAATCTCCGTCTATGGATATGTAGATGGTCCTTGGATGTCCTCAAAAGGGGGTCTCCAGTGGTGGTAGGGTATATCTCCTTTCCAATAGAAGTGAAGAGCAAATAGGATATTGCTCAATACATGTAGGCGTAGGTGGTATGATCCCCACCAAGGATATCACTCCTCGAGTCCTCCAGTGGGGGTGTTGGAGAGAGTTGAAACGAATTATGCTATTTAAAAAAATAAAATAAAATAGAATAAAAGTATAGACATGGAGGCTCCAATAGCTTAAATGGGCTATCTTTATTGGAGACAAAAAAAATCAGTAACAAAAGAGTTTTAAAAAACACTAACACGTTTCTCCTGCAAAGAGGCGTTATCAAAGTGTTACAGCATCAGAGGCCTATCATGTTAAAATTGCAGGTACAATTGATTACATCATTACAATTAGGGACACCATCAATCATGTGATACAGAAAACATATTAAAATGTATTAAATGTATTAAAACAAGCAATAATACAGTGCAGTTGGGAGGGGGACATAAAATGGGTATAAATTATCAAATGGATAAATATCCATTTGATAATTTATACTCATTTTATGTCCACCTTCCATCTGCACTGTATTATTGCTTGTGTTACTACGTTTTAAAAAAACATCCATTTGATCATTTATACCCATTTATGTCCCCCTGCCATTGCACTGTATTATTGCTTGCTTGAATACGTTTTAATATGTTTTCTGTATGTGATTGATGATGTCACTAATTGTAATGATGTAATCAATTGTATCTGCTATTTAAACAGGATAACAGAAATGGTGAAATATTACCTGTACAAGTGATAGTAAATATATATATGGTGTCACTCACAAAAGTAGAGCCAACGTCATGTGGCTCACATGTGTAGGGCAGCGGGAACATTAATGTAATCACCTTATGTATGTATACATTTTGGTAGGTTTACATTATTTCATTGTTCACTTGTAAGAATCAGGGCTGTATTGAGACAGAACAAAAGGCCCAGGCATTTAAAAGAACAGGATTCAACAGATATAGTAAGTGGGTATAAATAATTAGGGTAACATTAAAGGACCACTATAGTGCCAGGAAAACATACTCGTTTTCCTGGCACTATAGTGCCCTGAGGGTGCCCCCACCGCCCGACTCTGGGGAGAGAAAAGGGTTAAAACTTACCTTTTTTCCAGCGCCGGGCAGGGAGCTCTCCGCCTCCGATCCTCCCTTTCGACTGAATGCGCATGCGCGGCAAGAGCTGCGCGCGCATTCAGCCGGTCTCATAGGAAAGCATTTACAATGCTTTCCTATGGATGCTTGCGTGTTCTCACTGTGATTTTCACAGTGAGAATCACACAAGCGCTTCTAGCGGCTGTCAGTGAGACAGCCACTAGAGGATTTGGAGGCTGGATTAACCCTATTATAAACATAGCAGTTTCTTTGAAACTGCTATGTTTATTAAAAAAAAGGGTTAATCCTAGAGGGACCTGGCACCCAGACCACTTCATTAAGCTGAAGTGGTCTGGGTGCCTAGAGTGGTCTTTTAAAGCCAAGTGGAAAGAGGTAATCAGAAAAAGCAGGGTTAGAGGGCTTACAATTAAGGGAAATCGGGTTTGGAAGTTAGGCTAAGATAATTTGGGATTAGAAACATTGGTATTAGGACATTTAGGTTTCTTGGCTACAGTTTAAGAACTTTGAAGCTTAATTAAACTCTCAGCTAGTGGAAATAGGCAATGGGCTACAATTGACTGTAACAACTGAAAACATTAATTTGTCCAGCAATGTAATAGTTTTTCTAGCCAGCAGGTGTCATCCAAAACCATAACATTGCTTGTACATGTGATTATATACACTAAAATGAAGCATGAACAAATCATGTGAAAACAAGGGTTTTTTTTTTGGTCAATCTTTCTTTCTATTAGTTTTTCAAGTTAACAGATATACAAATCAGCAGTAACAGGTTGATATGTGATAAACGATGCATTGCAGACATTTGTTCATTAACAAGCTAGCTAGATTTTTTTTATTTATTATTATTTTTATTTTTTTAACATGTGATAACAGTGTACTAAAGCTCCAACAACAGTTATGAGACATCATGTGCTCGTAATTAAGTTTAACCAGGTGCCTAGTCGCCTATTTACTGCCTTTATTCCACTCTAGAGGTCTCGTCCTAAGCCAGGGGTAGGCATACCGGATAGGTTTGATTTGCTTCATTCTGCGGGAATGAAGTTCACTCCCTCCTACGCCACCTGTGACATGGTGTCGAAAATCTTCCTCCAGTATGGGACCAGGGGCAGGCATTCCCAGAAAATATGTACAAGTGAGCCCACTGTGGATCCGCATCGCCGGCACTTCTGGGTTGTATTTGTGGATTTTCTGGGGTGTGTCATACCAGTGCGTAAGTATCTTATAATTTATTTCTTGGTATTTCGTGCAGAACCGAGGTGGGTGTATGTGAATATCTGGGTCCACTCCTGAGAATGTCATCTGTAAAGCTTCCTCCCATGTGGTCTGGAATTTCGGGGGGGGGGGAGGGTAGTCTGTCCTCCGATGTGAGCAAGAGGGACAGGATGGTGATGCCGTGGTGCAGGGCAGTTTTCTTCGAGCAGATGTCCTCCAACGGAACATTGGTCTTCGCAGTTGCAGGTGGTGGGCAATAGCAGAGTGGCAGTGTCGTATCTGGTGGCATGCGAAGATTTCCAAGGTCGTGGGGGTCCTGTCCCCTATCAGTGTTTGCAACTGGAGTTATTTGTCCACTTGGCATAAATCTGCGAGACGGATGTACTGCCCTGTCCAGCTGGAAAGTCCGGGTTGTTCGAGGCTGGGAGCATTGGTCCGTTGACCATCATATATTTGAACCTGATTTGGTTCCACACTTTTAGGGTTGCTCCTATGAATGGCTGTTCGTTGATCAGATGCCTGGCACAGCCTCAGACAGCCAAACCACTGCTGGGATGCTCTTACTTGTCATCTCCTGTTCCAGTGTCGACCACGGTTTCTGGGTGGCATTCCACTATCCTTGTAAGATGGGTCGCTTGATAGTAGTTCAGGAATGACTGAAGTCCCAGACCTCCCTCCCATTTGGTTTTCATCAGTTGTACCATTTGAAGTTGAGGTCTGCACCCCCTCCAAATGAAAGAGAGTAATGCCGAGTTGAGGGAGTTGAAAAACGCTGGCTGGAGAGCGAACAGAATTGTCTGGAATAAAAAGTGCAGTCTTGGTTGTACATTCATTTTGATGGCATTTATGCGCCCTGTCCATGAGAAGTGCAGAGCCATCCACAGGTTTTCATATCCACGAGAGATGGGATAACAGCGGTCGACAACAACATATAAATAAATGTCAGCGAGTCAAACTGGTAAAAATGGGGACACATTACTCATTAATTCAACAATTAAACAGTGGTACCATGGGCCCAGACTACTCTTGATAGGAAGCGTTGCTCTATATGTAGTTAGCAGAATATCTCTTTCTGCAAACTACTCTCCATAAGGATGTGTATCCTGCAAATGACTGTCTGCGGCTGATCATATAGGCCAGGGTCCTCCATACCTAATCTGAAAAAAAATGAAATGAAATAAGTGGGCATCATAGCTCTGGAATGACCCACTGTGTGTGCCGTAGCTGGAACCTGGTGAATTTGCTGTTACCCAGTACCCCACCACCCAAGCCAAATAAGAATTCCCCCCTGGAGCAAAACGACGTATTTGTGCCTTGGAGCTGCACATTTTTACCAAAGGAGACCGGCGCCTCAGGACTAATCCCTGGGGTGCACTGCCCAGCCGTGTGGTAGTGGCCAACAGGCCAATAAGGGAGACCCCCTCCCAACTCCCGCTCCACCTAGGCTAGGTGCCCCTCCTCCCCGATATGCTGAGATTGTGTGCCGCCGATGATCCCATGCTTACCCCGTGTCTGTGATGCTCCTTTTAACTCCATCTGGTGATCCCTCAGCTCAGGGTGTGACTGGTTTTGGAGGCTGGATCACTCATCCAGCATCGCTCTCGGCGTGAGCGCGGCGCGTGGGTGCGGGACCGCTCCCTTAGTTGTCCGGTTCTCTGTTCCCTGGGTGGTATATTGGAGGGGCACAGTATCCATTTCTGCACCATGGTGTGAGGCAGAGCCAGGATTCACAGGAAGCCCAGGACATCTTCTGGAATCCCCCGATCTAGCGTGCAAGCTAAAAGTGAAGCCCCATCTATAAGCCATATTATGTTCCCTCAGCATGCTGGTGCCAGGTTTTATCATTCCCGGGCTCGGTTCATGATCCTCTCTTTCTCTCAATACATCCCTTGGAACTCTGTCTGATCTCTGTTGGCGGAGGGTGTGGTGTGCCATGTCTAGCTGGATGGTCTCCGGTGCAGCATTGCCCAGTATAAAGTTAAAGAGGGCCTGCGGTGTTGTCTCCAGGGTTTCCGCTGCTGTATCCATCGGGAGGCCGCGGATTCCTATTTGTTTTGTCGGCTGCTGTTATCAAGCTCTTCAACTTGACTCCTGATGTTGAGAAGCATCTTCAACTTGTCTGGTTGCCGCCAGTTCTGCTGCCCCATTTTGGGCGTTAGAGCGTTCCGCGGACGATTCCAAAGCTGAGACTCGGTCTTGCAGGGCTGAGACATCCTGGCATATTTCAGTCACTTCCGCTTTGATAGTCTGCTTCAGCGAGGTCCCCAGCCCATCAGCATCGGCTTTAGTGAACATGGAGGTGGTGATTGCCCGGAGATCTCTCATGATTTGCTCCATTTTGGTAAGTGTGCACCCTGCTTGGGCTTCTGAGGCCACCGGGTACTGTGGCCCTGATTCCTCATCCACGTGGTGAGAGGCAGCGGTGCCTTTGTGGTTGGGGGGTACCCACTCTGTTGGTCTGACCCATGGGACCTGAATGAAGGCACTTTTAGCAGACTACTTGGTTGGAGCATTCGAGCTAAGTGTCCATCTTTCCCGAGCACCAGGACACACCTAAAAACAAAATAGTTAATTAAATAAAGTTGATTGATCTCCCAGTAAACTAAGGGGTGTATTAACCAGTTACTGTTTAGAAATAAATAATAAAAGTGTTTTGCTAAAGTGTTGTATGAGTGTTATGTGAAAAGTTGTAATAACAATCTTTCTAATTTTCTTTATTTGCAACATAGCTGTTGAAAATAAAGATTGCACTACAGAGATGCATTGTGAATGCAAACAGTGTAGCGGAGCTCCTATACTGGCTGGGTATCTCCGCTGGAATATCCCTCAAGCTAGAAGAAATTGCTGTTTAGTGTTATAGCCCTTATTCCCTACACATCAGACGACACTTGATATTGGAAAAATGGCAAAGTTTAATGGGACAAGGTGGCCTTTCATACACAGACCCCTAGCCGGGGGACTCCATTGTGCACATAGGTAGTCCCTCCCTGGCATCTCTGTATCTGGAAGATAATTAAATATCTTGCTGAAATCGATTATCTACCGGATACAGAATGTCTTACATAAAAATCCCCAAAACAGTAATAATACAACCCCCATAAGCAATATATCGTTGGAATGGTCTGATCTGAACGCCCATTTTGGCAAAAGCGCACTCAGATCCCTATGGAATTGGGAAAATGTCACCAGGTTAAAGTTCGGACCGGCAGTTCGCTGAATCCTGTCCAAAATGAGTTCCATAAGTTCACTGTTTACGGCCGGTCATTTTACGGGTGCTCTTGTACAGTGGCAAAAGGGAGCTTCCCTCAGTGTTCATTGTACCTTCGCTATAATTAGTGCTCTTCTAGACAGAGTAGAAGTAGGGGAAAACAAAGATGGAACTTGACCGGGAGGTGCTGCTTATAGCGGCCGAGCTAGAGTTTCAGAGAATTACAGAAGTCCCGCTGAAGTACAAATGGCTTATTCCGGCTCCCTAGAGCTGCTGGAAGGTATGATAGAGAGAGTGCTCTCAGTGTATGTCCAGAAGGGAAGGAGTGAAAGCCAAGAGTGATATAGTCTTTAGAGCGATATTTAGGCATAAAAGGCAGGTCCTACCACAAACAGGAATGGTAAATAGCTTTTCTATAAAATAGCTTGTTAAAATAACACACTATTATGTATATTATTTTCTAACCTGCCAATGTGCTAAACTAATTCTTTACTTTTACAAGTAAGAAACACAGTAAAGAGCCTGTTATGTGACTGATAAATTAATACTAGTGTGACAGACCACCCAGTCACTATGGACTGATGCAAGACTCCCAGCCAACACCTTCCCAGAAACTGACTATAATTATTGTGGTAACCCCTTACCTGGTGTGCCTTCTCACACCGTGCACTAATAAAGCTAAACCGATCACCCAAATACTATCCGGCACTGTAAGTGAAAGGCTTTTACAGACACAGCGTGCCTGACCAGGAGCTACCCAGGAATCACATGGAACTTTGGGTCGGATTACAGGATTGCCATGAACCAGTAAAAGTTCTCTAGAGTAGCACTCAGTCCCAAGACCACCAAACAGGGAGCTATTTGGAAGGGAGATCAGGCAGGTGACAAGGCATTCGAGGACACCAGGTGGAAAGAGATGCTACAGGGGCTGAATCCTCATATGTATCTCTACAATGATGTAGCCTATATCACAGTCTGTGTAGGGGCAGGATAATATTAGTGTATATTAGATAATATTAGTGTTTTTGTAATACAAAATAAAGTTTAATAGTATAGTTATCCATTAAGCTATTTAGGGGGAGCAGATGGTGCGCCAAGATATCTGTTGGCAGGTGATGTCGAAGAGCAGAATTTCCCTGTATATCTCTTTATAAGCTAGCTATCATAGTGAATGCATTAAATACCTGGCTGTGTTTCTGTATGGACTTTAATTGTGATCCTGGAGAGCTTCATAGGTAGAAAGGAGAGGTCATGATGTAAATGCGTAACTATCATGGCATATCCCTACCTTTTTCGCTGAGTAAGGATCAGTCAGTTTATCTTTGGGCTCGTGCCCCAGGTGTTTCTGAAATCTAGTAAATTCCCTGCTGATTTCTGATTGCCATCACCACTTTTATAAAATGAAAAATACAGGATTACATATAAATTATGTGTTTGGAGTGTTCCCTTTAATTGCTCATGGAAATTAATGACAGAAATTCCCACAACATTCTGATTTACATCCTGCAGCTGCTACTAAGGGTGAGTTATAATCTGCATATATATATAAAGTGACGATGCAGCAGGGACACTTGGAAGTGCTTTAGGGGGTTGGAATATTCCGTTGAGTAGCATGGCAATGCATTTGATTACTTAGTTGTATTGGTATGTGTGTTTTTATTTTGTGTAGTTTGGCAATTCAGAGTGAAATTTTTGTGTGTCTGAAGTGTGTGTTTTCCTCACCATTTTTTGTAGAGAGGACAGATGTAACTCAGGTGAGTTATGTTTGCCGTAATTTGGCAATTTCAGTTTGCTACTATTTGGAGTTTAGTGGACAATCCCAAGATTGGGATCTAGATCCACTCCTGTTTAAGCAATCTCCAGAACACCAAGATGTAGGATTAGACTGGCCTATCAGGCAGGATATCGAGGACTTACGCAGTGGGCTGCAGTATCTATGGTGGGCAGTGTAAAGGGACACTGTCAGCACTAAAACTATTTTAACTTAAAGGACCACTATAGTGCCAGGAAAACATACTCGTTTTCCTGGCACTATAGTGCCCTGAGGGTGCCCCCACCCTCAGGGTCCCCCTCCCGCCCGGCTCTGGAAGGAGGAAAGGGGTTAAAACTCTCCGCCTCCATTCATCCCCGTCGGCTGAATGCGCACGCGCGGCAGGAGCTGTGCGCGCATTCAGCCGGTCGCATAGGAAAGCATTATCAATCCTTTCCTATGGACGCTTGCGTGCTCTCACTGTGATTTTCACAGTGAGAATCACGCAAGCGCCTCTAGCGGCTGTCAATGAGACAGCCACTAGAGGCTTTGGGGGAAGGCTTAACCCATTCATAAACATAGCAGTTTCTCTGAAACTGCTATGTTTATAAAAGAATGGGTTAAGCCTAGCTGGACCTGGCAGCCAGACCACTTCATTAAGCTGAAGTGGTCTGGGTGCCTAGAGTGGTCCCTTAATAAAGTGGTTTTGGTATATAGATCATTCCCTCCAGTTTAACTGCTCAATTCTCTGAATTGTCTTTATTGTTTAACCTTTTAAACTTTTGTTAAAAAATACACAAAAATACTCTCAGGGATATTAAAAAATTAAAAAGAAAACACAGGTTTATAAAAATAAAACTAAATCTTTATTAAATTTATATGTGGTGTATAAAATCTCCAGGCATCACAGCTGGAGAATTGCAGAAAATAGTGGCATCTTGGGGGTCAAAAAGTCTCCAAAACTACAATCGCCAATACCTACATCACCACACTTTTTTGGAAGGGTTTCAAGAAAAAAAACATCTACTCTCATCCAAAAACAAACACAAGTGCAATCAGTTTGCCATACAATAATGGAACTTCAAATGGTATTGGGTTCTATAGTCAAATAAGCACCAGATGTGGGTTTGGCTCACACATAGAGGAAGCCATGTGAAAAAGTGCCCATGGTTAAATATGGTCCAAGCTTGATGATCTCAGCCATAGTGGCAGGGCCAGTCGAGTGGAGACCACCATGGCATGGGGAAACAAAAGCTGAGTAAAAACACTATTCCCTTGCCAATGGAAGGGGTCTGGTAACCTAAACACACACACATACACCATGGCAGACAGACAGACACACACACTATGACCAGGGGCGTTTTAGCCGCGAGGCAAACAAGGCATTTGCCTTGGGCGGCATTTTCCAGGGGGCGGCAAAAAACGCCGCCCCCCAAATGCCCAGGGCAAATGCCTAGTTAGCCTCGCGTCATCTTCCGGCTCCCAGCCTCACTCTGCGGCTCGCGAGGGAGCTGAGCAGACCGCTCAGAGGAAGTGCTCCCTCGCCAGCCTCCAGCGCCGCCCAGCCCGACCGGCAACCACTGGACCCCTAGGGAGAGAGAGATCCCCCCAGCACTCCCAAAGGTAAGGAGGTTGGGGGGGGGCTTAAATAAAAAAAAAAAAGTTAATGTGAGTGATTGTGTGTGTGTGTGTTTGTGTTTGTGTATGACTGTGTGTGTGTGTGTGTGTTTGTGTCTGACTGTGTGTGTGTGTTTGTGACTGTGTGTGTGTTTGTTTTTCTGACTGTTTGTGTATGTGTCTGACTGTGTGTGTGTGTGTTTGTGTCTGACTGTGTGTGTGTTTGTGTCTGACTGTGTGTGTGTGTTTGTGTCTGACTGTGTGTGTGTGTGTATGTGTCTGACTGTGTGTGTGTGTTTGTGTCTGACTGTGTGTGTGTGTGTGTGTGTGTATTTAGAAGGTGGGGCGGGGGGGAAGGGTTGGGTGGGGGTGGCGCGGGGGCAGGTGGGCGCCTGAGTTTTGTCTTACCTAGGGCAGCACAAAACCAGGATACACCACTGACCATGACACACACATATACCATGACAGACACACACACACGCACACCATGACACAGACATATACCATGACAGACACACACACAATGACACACACCTTGACAGACACACACACCATGACAGACACACATACACACCATGACACACACATACACACACCATGACTGGCACACACACCATGACAGACAGACAGAGACACACACATACACACACCATGACAGACCCATACACTCACACTAACAGACTGACTCACACATTATTGCTACCTGTGGGGTCTAGTGGGCGATCGGCCAAGCGATTGTGCAGGTGGGCGTCATGATAGGTGGTTATGCAGGGCGGGCGGGTGGCTGCGTGAATAGGGAGCTGTGCTGTCTCTGCCCTGCTTTGGGCAAATATGTCCCATTGTGCCTGTGATGCAAATATATATACTGAACAGCCCAGTGGTGTATCCTGGTTTTGTGCTGCCCTAGGCAGGACAAAACTCAGGCACCCCCCTCCCGCGCTACCGCCACCCAACCCTTCCCCCCTGCTCCGCCTTCTAAATACACACACACACATTCACTGACAGATACGCATTCACTAGCTAACAGAAACACACACTCACTAACAGACACACACTCACTCACTAACAGACACACACACTCACAGGCAAACACACACACTCACTAACAGGCAAACGCACACACTCACTAACAGACACACGCACACTCACTAACAGACACACACACACTAACAGACACACACTAACAGGCAAACACACAGACACTAACAGGCAAACACACACACACTAACAGGCAAACACACACTAACAGACAGACAGACACACACTAACAGACACACACACACTCTAACAGATTCACACACACAAACAGACACACACACACACACTAACAGACAGACACACACTAACATACACACACTAACAGACACACACACACACTAACAGACACACCCACACACTAACAGACACACATTAACAGACACACACACACACACACACTAACATCCACACACACACTAACACTAACATACACACACACACTAACATCCACACACACATACACACACTAACACACTCACTTGTGTTTTTTTTTTATTTAACCCCCCCAGCCTCCTTACCTTTGGGAATGCTGGGAGGGTTCTTCCTCTCCCTGGGGTCCAATGGCTGCAGGGTGGGCGGGCGGCTGGCGAGGGAGCTCTTCCCTTGAGCGCTCTGCTCAGCTCCCTCGCGCGCCGCCAGCAGAGTGAGGCTGGGAGCTGGGTTGATGACGTCATATTCTGGCTCCCGGCCTCACTCTGCTGGTGGCGCGTGAGGGAGCTGAGCAGAGCGCTCAGGGGAAGAGCTCCCTCGCCGGCTGCCCGCTCGGCATGTCTGTTAGCCGCGAGGCTAACTAGGCATTTGCCCTGGGCATTTGGGGGGCGGCTTTTTTGCCACCCCCTGAAAAATGCCGCCCAAGGCAAATGCCTTGTTTGCCTCGCGGCTAATACGCCCCTGGAACAGCCACAACATTAAAACCACTGACAGACGAAGTGAATAACATTGATCATATTGTTACAATGGCACCTGTAAAGAGGTGGGATATTTTAGGCAGCAAGTGAAGTCAATTCTTGAATTTCATGTGTTGAAAGCAGGAAAAATAGGCAAACTAAATGAGTGACTTTGACAAGAACCAAATTGTGATGGCTTGTCTTGAGGGGTGCTCCCAGTATGTAGTGATTAGTATGTACCAAAAGTGGTGCAAAGAAGAACAATCAGTGTGAACTGGCATCAGTGCCATGGGCGCCTAATGCTCATTGATGCAGGTGGGGAGCAAACACTGGCCTGTCTGCTACTGTAGCTCAAATACTGAAAAACGTAATGCTGGCCTTTATAGAAAGATGTGAGAAAACACAGTACTGCACAGCCGCAGACCTATCAGAGTGCCTATGATGGAGGGAAGACAAGACAGGGGGATATAATAGAAACATTTAAATACATAAAGGGAATCAACACAGTAAAGGAGAAGACTATATTTAAAGAAGAACAACTACCACAACAAGAGGACATAGTCTTAAATTAGAAGGGCAAAGGTTTAAAAATACTATCAGGAAGTATTACTTTACTGAGAGGGTAGTGGATGCATGGAATAGCCTTCCAGCTGAAGTGGTAGAGGTTAACACAGTGAGGGAGTTTAAGCATGCGTGGGATAGGTATAAAGTATTTCGAAAATTAAGCAGTCTAGATGGTTCTTATCTGCCGTTACATTCTATGTTTTTATGACCACTGTCTACCGCTAAAAGCTTCTTCAGTGAAGATGTGAGCTTCATAACAGGAGCAATGGAAGAAGATTGCTTGGTCTGATGAATCATGTTTTCTTTTAAATCAGGTGGCATCATGATGCACTATGGGAAGAAGGCGGAGGCAATCTTATGGTCAAGGGAAACCTTGGGTCTTGGCATTTATGTGGACTACTTTGACATGTATGTACCACCTACCTAGAGATTGTTGTAGATCACATTCCCCCCTTCATGGCAATGCTGTTCGCTGATCAGCAAGATATTGCATCTTGCCACACTAGCAAAAAAATATGAGCAAAGAAGACTGTGAGAAAGTGTCTTTACTGTTTAACCTTTTGATCTATTGTTTAAAAAAAATACTCAAAAATACTCATGGATATCAAACAATTGCAATCACAACACAGGTTTATAGAAAATAAATCTCTTTGTTAAATATTCAAGGGGTACAATTATTGGCACACTTTGTGCTACCTTCCTTTGCCAATTTAACAGCTATAGTGCCTGATGAGGTTGAATAATACATGGCAAGGGATCTAAAACCATTCTTCAATACAGAATCTTTCCAGATCCTTCAGACTTTGAGATCAGCGCTAGTGGAGTCTCCTCTTGAATGTTCACCCCACAGGTTTTCAATAGAGTTCAAATCTGGAGACTGAGATTGCCATGGTGATCAGTTAACCAATGATGATCTCAGCCAATCCTATGTTTTGCCATAGGATTGGCTGCAAAACGCTACACCAATCAGCATCTCCTCATAGAGATGCATTGAATCAATGTATCTCTATGGGGAACGTTCAGCGCCTCCATGCATAGTGTGGAAGCGCTGAATGTAGATGCTGCACACTGTACAGCACTGACACAGGAAGCACCTTTAGTGACCGTCTGAGTGATTTTCTCTGAAAAGTCAGTGTTTATATTGAAAAGCCTGCAGGGACAGGCTATAGACACCAGAACCACTACATTAAAGGACCACTATAGTGCCAGGAAAACATACTGGTTTTCCTGGCACTATAGTGCCCTGAGGGTGCCCCCAGCCTCAGGGACCCCCTCCCGCCCGGCTCTGGAAAGGGGAAAGGGGTAAAAATTTACCTTTTTCCAGCGCTGGGCGGAGAGCTCTCCTCCTCCGATCCTCCTTCTCTCCTCCCCGTCGGCTGAATGCGCACGCGCGGCAAGAGCTGCACGCGCATTCAGCCGGTCACATAGGAAAGCATTCATGCTTTCCTATGGACGCTGGCGTGCTCTCACTGTGAAAATCACAGTGAGAAGCACGCAAGCGCCTCTAGTGGCTGTCAATGAGACAGCCACTAGAGGAAATAGGGGAAGGCTTAACCCATTCATAAACATAGCAGTTTCTCTGAAACTGCTATGTTTATGAAAAAATGGGTTAACCCTAGCTGGACCTGGCACCCAGACCACTTCATTAAGCTGAAGTGGTCTGGGTGCCTAGAGTGGTCCTTTAAGCTGTGTGTGTGTGTGCCTGATAGTGAGTGAGCTTGTGTGTTTGTCATTGGTTATAGCTCTACCAATCAGGGCATACCGCTCATGAATTCTGTCAGATTTTTTTGCGACAGTTTGATAAAGCCTGAGGTTCTCCCCTGCATATATAACCAGATCCCTCTAAAGCGAGGTTTTAGAAGCATATCATCACATCTGTTCCATTGTAGGTGTGGCATTGTGCCAATGACTCGTTCGCAGCAAAAAGTAAAGGGTGGCCACAGAATATATAGACCATTTTTGTTACAAACTTTTCTGTAGGGAGCATATGTGTGTCAGTATGCTTTTCTGTATGGAGCATGTGTGTGTCAGTGAACTTGTCTGTAGTGAGCATTTGTGTGACAATGAGCTTGTCTGTGGTGATCTTGTGTGTGTGTCAGTGAGCTTGTCTGTAGGAAGCATGTGTGTATCAGTGAGCTTTTCTCTTGTGAGCGTGTGTGTGTGACAGTGAGCTTGTCTGTAGAAATCTTGTGCATGTCAGAGTGTGTCTCTACTACATTTGTGTGTATACCAATAAGCTTGTCTGTGTGTGTCAGTGAGATTGTCTGTCAGTGAGCCTATGTGTGTGCATATGTGAGCTTGTGTTTTTATGTCAATGAGTTTATGTATATCAGTGATGTTGTTTGTCTATGAGGCTGTGTGTCAATGAGCTTGTGTGTGTCAGTGAGATTGTCTGTGTCTGCATGTGAGTATGCTTACTGTATAATTAAACGTTTTACTCTGAAAGGACCAATATTTATATATTGGAAAAATAAATATATATTTATGTTTTATATAAATACACAATCCAGCGCACTCGCTTATTCACTAAAGAATGATATCACATCTTAGAGATTGTAATTGTTTTATTTAAAAACACCTCACCTAGGCAAAATAATGGTAGTTTAGTTATAGTATATGATCATACATTGTATAAGCCTGCCACAACGTCAATGTACCCCATTCTTGGTAGGTCCTACTCTAGCAGCCTAGTGCTTGCTCTTATGAGATGAATCCACTTACTTGGGAAATACTTCCTTACTGGGACTCTCTGCAAGTCAAGGCTAAATAGGATCCTGGAATGAGGCACCTGTGACAGGGAGGGGTGCAAAAGTGAGGAGTTGGCCTGGACTCCCAAATATATAAATGAAACCAAGAGTGCTACACTCATGCGTACATTACAGGGTGCTACAAGAGTGCTACACTCATGCGTACAAAATAGACAATCCAGCGCTCTCGTTTATTCACTAAATAATGATTTCAAATCTTAGAAAGAGGAATAGTTTTATTTAAAAACACAGAATCTAGGCAAATAAATAATGGGGGTTTAGTTATTATTTTTTTGCCTAGGTGAGGTTTTTTTAAATAAAACGATTACAATCTCTAAGATTTGAAATCATTGTTTAGTGAATAAGTGAGTGCGCTGGATTGTGCATTTTGTATATTTTGGCCCCAGCAGCACCCTATCATGTACGCATGAGTGCAGCCCTCTTGGTTTCATATATATATATATATATATAAAATGAAAAAATGAACGCTTTGCACTCTCCTTATAATAGAAATAAAAGTATCTTGCCTGGGTGCTGTATCCCCAGTGTCAAATATATAAGCAAATAAGAAAAACGGGATCCACTCACAGGTCTTCATCAAAGTGAAAAAATGGTGCTTTATTAATCCATTAGGTGTATACAAAAATCGACCGACGTTTCGACCCTGACGGGTCGTTTTCAAGATCATTGAATACAAGTCATAAATGTGCTTATATACAAAATGTAAAGGGTAACACTTATCAAACAGTAAAGTGGAGTGGAGTGTCTCTGCCCGTTACAACCCGGAAGCGAGTGGAAGCCGCCAGTGACGTCACGTGATCCAGACACACGGCGGAATAATGTGGTTCCCATAGTGTCAGTAAACAAACAAAGTACCGATCGGGTACAAGAAGAACGCTATGGAGAGGAACTATCAGTATAATATACTTAAGAAAAATAGTGGAGGTTAATGCCATAATATGAGTAGACCAAGAAACCAATAA